GCTTAAAGTGCAAACCTTTTTTGATGACAATCACCCTAACACAGCTATTGCAAGCAGTGCTGGTGACTATTACACTAACAATGTTGTGAAACACTTTAGGGATGTCATAAAGGAACGGGAGGTACAGGCCACTATGGACAGATATGTTGTGCGACAGAAATCCAGTGACTCTGAAGCTGGTCCTAGTGGCATTAAAAGAAGGGAAGTCACCCCGGAAAAGGACTTGCTACCTCAAGTCCTAATGGAAGGGGATTCCCCTACTAAACACTAACACCTCTCCCCTCCTCCCATCCCATCATCACCAGATCTTCATTAACCCTTTGAGGGTTTTGGTCGTACTAGTACGTCTTACGTGTAGGGGTTTTTGACGTACTAGTACTCATAAATTCTAGCGGCCTCAAATCTAGTGGGAGAAAGCTGGTAGGCCTTCATATGAAAGAATGGGTCTATGTGGTCAGTGTGCACAGTCTAAAAAAAATCCTGCAGCACACAGTGCATAATGAGAAAAAAAAAACTTTGACCATTTTTTTTAATAAATCAGCGACTTTGCAGTGTATTTTCGTATGGTATTTATTGTTGTATTCTAGTTTTCTTGGTCTCATTTTATAGAATGGAAGACATATTACAGAAATTGAGATGATTTTGACTGGTTTTACATTGAAAGGTGCCTTGAAATTGAGCTCAAAGTAGCAGAAATGTTCGATTTTTACCAAACTTCAAAAGTAAACAAATCGTGCCAAGCATGCAATACACGTCAACTGGTGAGCCTAATATTCTTTCACAAGTGCACCAATAATATTTATACCATTTTTTACACTAACGCAGTAGTCTGCATAACAGTAAATCTTATATTTTTTGTGAAAATAAAAATTCAAAGTGGAAAGCAAAAGAATATAAGAGGGGCCTTGAGACGTGACTAATGACTAGAGGAAATGTCATTTTAGTGCCAGGAATGTCTTTCTTGTTTATTCTGGACCCTATTCGGAAATTGGCATCTTTTGAAATTTGTGTGAAATTGGCAAAATTGCTAAATTCTGACCACTGTACTGGATAGTTGAATTTCATAAATGGGTGGTTTCTTGCACCCATTCGATAGAAAAAATGGAGTTCTAGCGAAATATTCATGTTTTTTGTCGACTAGTACAGTGAAATTGGCCGAAAATGGGGCTCAAAGTGGGCAAAATTGCCGATGCGTAAACATCGCCGAGACCGCTAACTTTGCGAGAGCATAATTCCGTAAGTTTTCTATCAAATTTCAAACTTTTGGTGTCTTTATGATCGGGAAAAGATTCTCTATCTTTTCATAAGAGAAAATAATTTTTTTTTTTTTTTTAAATTTGGCCGACCCTGAGAACGAGTTTCGGAGGGCCTGTCGACCCTCAAAGGGTTAAAGGAAAGTGTCAATTATTTTATTATTATTCTATTGCATTAAACTTAATATTCCATGTAGTAAAATTTTTTTTTTTTCATACCTTTGGGTCTCTTGTACAATGACAATTTATGGCCCATTTTAGGAAAGTCTTAAAGGAACGGGAGGTACAGAGCTCTATGGACAGATTTGTTGTGCGACAGAGGTCCAGTGACTCTCAAGTTGGTCCTAGTGGCATTAAAAGAAGAAGGGAAGTAACCCCGGAAAAAGACTTGCCACCTCAAGTCCTAATGGAAGGGGATTCCCCTTCTAAACAATAACTTCCACTCTCTCCCCTCCTCCCATCCCATCAATCATCACCAGATCTTCAATAAAGGTAAGTGTCATGTATTCTATTCTTAGTAGAGTAGTAATTGTGCATGTCTTCTTCAGTTTGTATGAAAATTAATATTTCATGTGGCAAAAAAAAATTTTTTTCATACTTTGGGGTGTCAGGAACGGATTAATTTGATTTCCATTATTTCTTATGGGGAAAATTAATTAGGCTAACGATAATTTTGGCTTACGATGAGCTCTCAAGAATGGATTAATATCACAAGGCAAGGGTCCACTGTGCATTACAGGTACTTTCAGCCATTCCCAGTAGCTCAAATGCTTTACAGACTATGCAGGCAGTAAACAATCTCTGTCTTTTCCAGCTCTGAGCTCTCTCCTGCCTTCCATGGAATTATAAACACCAAACAATATTCTAATAGGGAGCACAAATTATTTATAGCATTGCCATTGGCACTGTTTCTCTTGTTCAGAAAAGTCTCATTATCCACAATATCATTAGTTAGCTTTCATGGCACTGCTTGTGATATGCAAATGATAGTTCATCTTACACAATTATGCCCAAGTATTTTAAATGTTTATTTTGATCAATGAGATGATGGTCGTGTGTTTTGTGTATAGTGCATGTTTAGAAGTCTTCGTTGTTTCCATATCTGAGCAGTTGGAATTTGTCACCACTGAATATCATGTTGTTTCTGAATAATTATACAGCAGGGCCCTGCTTTACGGCGTTTCGCTTTACGGCGTTCCGCTAATACGGACATTTCAAATTATGACCAAAACTCGCTATACGGCTCCCCCCACCTGTCTTTCTAATACGGTCACAGCGGCCCACCGAGTTTGTTTACATTCTCCCTGAGCACATCTCCTTATTATGTCTGGAAACTTTCCAAAATTTCAAGTGTTTTAAAGTTATTGTATATTTTATATGTATTGTACTTGATAAACTTGTGTACACCTGTACCTAAATAAACTTACACACTGTGCTGGCATGTAGGTACACATTAAAATCACTAAGAGTCTCTCTACTCTTGATGCATAATAATAATAATTTAAAAATAATAATAATAATAATAATAATAATTAATAATAATAATAATATATAATAGTAATAATAATAATCTCTTGGGCGCATTAATGTCGCATATTACGTTAATATAGACATTTCCCTTAATCTATGATATTTTTTTCAAAATTATATAAGAAACACATTATGTAACACACAAACATGATACATGCACCCACAGTATAAAAATTTATACAAATATATATGAGATGTTTACCAAACGGTTTGTAGAAGTGTCGGAAGAATTACGTTTTTTCTCTAGCCCGTCACCTGTTACTAGGGATAACTGTAGAAAAATATTCCTTTCGTATGCCTTCACTTTATAGCTATAATTCTGTACTAACTTGTACACAGTGTAAGAGTATTTGTTTTGTGATTTAATTATTATAATAATAATATAATATGATTTAATTATTATAATAATAATAAAAATATTATAAGGTAAAAGTTTCACAAACTCTTACAAATGTACATGAATGAACTAAAACTGGACACGTATTAATACCGTCTATTTCGCCTGACCGAGTGATCGTCCACAACCTGTTCAGTTTGTTTGTTTACGCTGTCTGAGCTCGGTGTATCATTAAATGTTGTATATTACGTTAATATACACATTTTCATTAATCCATCCGTGATATTTTTTTCAAAATTATATAATAAACACGATACATAACAAATACATAACATATGTGTAGAGATCCTAGGATAACCCAAAAAAGTCAGAGTGACTTTTACTTCCATTGCCTTCACTCAGAGCATCATTTCTTCTCAAAATGATGTTACATGAGAATGGGAGTGTTCTTCTTTATTTATTCTACCGTATCAATGTAGAGACAACCTGTAAACAATGTAACTTGTACACAAACCAGACGTGTACACTGTTTACAAAACTTACCTTCGCCTGGTTTGTTTACATAACTCTGCGCCTGTCCTCTCTCATGCACTCATTCTTTCTCTGGTATGGTAGCCTGGCTGACTACCATACATACCACACTTGATTTTTTACAATAAATACTACTCATCTCACCCTATATTTTAAGGTAAGTAATGAGTGAACTGTATATACATTTTATCGCTCTGGGATGCTTAAATATCATAGAATAGTATGTGTGGGTGGGGTGGCCTGGTATGGTAGCCTGGCTGACTACCATACATACCACACTTGATTTCTTACAATAAACACTGCTTGTCTCACCCTAGATTAAGACTATAAATATTTTAAGGTAAGTAATGAGTGCACTATGTGTGTATTGTACTTTTTATTGTTTTTTGATGCCTGGTTCTATTGCTAACATAATATATGTTAGTGTAAACTTGTTATCTAGTGTTTGTATGCATTTGTAAGTGGAAAAAAAGGGTGTTCCACTTTACGGCGGTAGCCTGGAACCTAACCCGCCGTATAAGTGGGGCCCTCCTGTAATGTGATACAGTCAGGGGCAGATCTACTACGAAACTAATGAGCTTACGCTTCAGGGGCCCTAAACCTGGAGGGGCCGCAGAAATAACTTTGGTCCACATTGCTTAAAATTTTTGGGTCCACTACATGAGAAGGTGATGCAAAGGAGCCCATATAACAGTTCAAGCTTCAGGGCCCCAACAATGTAGTCTGCCACTGGATCCAGTACTGTACAAGTTTACATTTTTCCTATATTATATGGAGAAATTTTCTTTATACGCAATAACATGTAACAAATAACACATTACAATAAATAAAGTAAAAGGTAAGATATTCATTATATTAATAGAGTATGAGGTTCACCAGTGAAAATTACATCAGCTAAGGCTAAGACAACCATCATAATGCTTGAGGTAGTAGAGGAAAACTCAACTTGAGAATTTTAGTAAAACAAATGTCTTAAAACATTAAGATGTAAATAGTTGGTTGGGTTGTTGTGGCTCAGTTATTTGAATTTCAATATGAGTGTAGTACTAGCATGATGCCCAGGGCATGAGCAAACATGTGTGTCTGGTTGTTTGACCCACCTGACCTTGGTGGGAAGTGGCTCATGTGGATAATAAAATACATCAATTTTTTTTTTACAAATTAATGCTTCAAGGCTTTTGTTTTTAAAAAGTGAAGATGTTGAATTCACACTTACTATCCCCAATGGCAAATGTAAAAATTCTACAACTGCCATGCAGCTTCCTAAAGCAGCTAGAGATAATGTATTAATATAGTAGTATTGCATTCTGCTATGTCAATAATAAAGGGTAAGCCATCATTATCCTGACCTGTTTTAGTTCTCCAAGAATCCTCCTCAAGTGCAGCCAAGAGAGAAGGAAGCACCAACTTAACACCATGAGCAGACAACTTGCTCATGACTGCCTTAGCTGTATCATCGGTGGCTTCACGAACATACTGGTTGGTGTCACCAAAACACAGCAGCAGGTGGGGCAGAATATGAACAATATATGGCTCAAACAACTTTCCTAACATGTTGCATAGTTGTTCCAAGGCAAAGAGAGCCCCCTCTCGGTACCTGTAGTTCTTCTTGTCCTGAGTAAGAAAACAATTCCTGTCTTATAAAGCACTCAATCTTTAAAAATTAACAAACAAGGTAAGGACTGGAAGGATTGTTTATCTTTTCTTAGTCTTATAAAACTTTATATGTAAGGAAAAGAGACTAAAAAGGCACATAGGTTATTTGTGCATTGTTCTACCATGAGTGGAACAATACAAAAATAACCAGCACATAGGAGAGAGAAGCTTATGACGACGTTATGGTATGACTTGGACCATTAACTAGACACACACAAGCACAAAGGGAAGGGAGCTAGTATATAGAGTGGACCCCCCCCCCCCTGACTTACTATGTCCTCGACCTACGTTAAAACCGACTTACGATGCTTGTCAGTGTAAAAATTTGACCCCAACCTACGTTGAAAAACTTGACTTATGTAATTCATCCTGAACACGGCCGTCTGGTCCATCTGGCCTGAGCGCCTCAGCTGAGCTAGTGTGACACTGTTTACAAGTCGGGGCGAATGATTGCACGCATACATTCGATAATTTTTTTATTATTCCAGTGTTTTTTGTGCTTGTAACTGCTAAATAAGCCACCTTGGGTCCAAAGAATGTTTCTAGTGCCAACCCTGTGGTAAAAAGGGTGAGAAATACAATCAAAATACTATTGTACCACGGTCAGCTGCTGCTGCTGCTGCTGTAGCACTGTCAGCTGCTGCTGCTGCTGCTGTAGCACTGTCAGCTGCTGCTGCAGCACCATCAGATGGTGCTGCACCATGGTCAGCTGCTGCTGCACCATGGTCAGCTGCTGCTGCACCAGTCAGCTGCTGCTGCTGCTGCACCAGTCAGCTGCTGCTGCTGCACCATGGTGAGCTGCTGCTGTAGCACCGTCAGCTGCTGCTGCACCACGGTGAGCTGCCACTGCTGCTGTAGCACCGTCAGCTGCTGTTGCACCATGGTCAGCTGCTGCTGCACCAGACAGCTGCTGCTGCTGCTGTAGCACCGTCAGCTGCTGCTGCACCACGGTGAGCTGCCACTGCTGCTGTAGCACAGTCAGCTGCTGTTGCACCATGGTCAGCTGCTGTTGCACCATGGTCAGCTGCTGTTGCACCAGTCAGCTGCTGCTGCTGCACCACAGTCAGCTGCTGCTGCTGCTGTAGCACTGTCAGCTGCTGCTGCACCACGGTGAGCTGCCACTGCTGCTGTAGCACCGTCAGCTGCTGTTGCACCATGGTCAGCTGCTGCTGCTGCTGTAGCACCATCAGCTGCTGCTGCACCATGGTCAGCTGCTGCTGCTGCACCACAGTCAGCCGTACTACTCGAAGATGTGGAGAGATTGTTATTGGTGTGGCTTATCGAGAATACCGAGAAACAATTAACCCCAGAGGGTTAGCCACCCAGGATAACCCAAGAAAGTTACTGTGTTATTGAGGACTGTCTAACTTATTTCCATTGGGGTCCTTAATCTTGTCCCCAGGATGCGACCCACACCAGTCGACTAACACCCAGGTGAACAGGAAAAAATGCCTGGAACTAGTGCTCATATTGGTGAATTTAAGGCCAGCAAAGGTTGGTTTGAGAGATTTAAGAATTGTAGTGGCATACAGTGTAATAAGGCCTGTTCTGGAAGAAAATGCCAAACAGGGCCTACATTACTCAGGAGGAAAAGGCACTCCCAGGATACAGTGTCTCATCACTCATCATTACACCTTCAATAAAGGTAAGTGTCATTTATTCTTCATTAAGTAGACTAGTACATGTACAATACATATTGCGCATGTATTCTTTTTGTGTGTAGGAAAATGTATATTTCATGTGGTAAAATTTTTTTTTCATAATTTTGGGTGTCTTGAACGGATTAATTTGATTTCTATTATTGCTTATGGGGAAAATTAATTCGACTTACGATAATTTCGTCTTACGATGTGCTATCAGGAACGGATTAATATCGTAAGTCGGGGGTCCACTGTATATATGAGATGGGGATGGGGCTGGGAGTAGTATAATGAGTGATGAGTACACCCTTTGTAGTAATCTAGTTCATACTTCTCCTCTTGCCACTCCATTTCCTTCACTCCAATGTGATATCCAATTTCCCTCTCTCCAATGCGATATCCAATTTTTCTTTATCTATATCATTTGATACCCTCATCACCTTACTCTTATCTATCTTCACTTTCAACTTTATACCTTTACACACCAGTCAAGGTTCCTTGATGCTGGTGAGGGGCTCTTGATCTAGGGAATTGGATCTGTGTTCCAGTTCCCTAAATTATTAATAATAATTATATTAGCAGTTTAGAGGGATAGGTTGTGTATCTTCATATGTATATGCTTCTAAACTGTTGTGTTCTGAGCACCTCTGCAAAAACAGTGATTATGTGTGAGTGAGGTGGAAGTGTTGAATGATGATGAAAGTATTTTCTTTTCGGGGATTTTCTTTCTTTTTTGGTCACCCTGCCTCAGTGGGAGATGGCCAACTTGTTGAAAAAAAAAAATTATAGGTAGTAGGTTGGAAGACAGCAACCGCCCAGGGAGGTACTATCGTCTTGCCAAGTGAGTGTAAAACGGAATCCTGTAATTGTTTTACATGATGGTAGGATTGCTGGTGTCTTTTTTCTGTCTCTTAAACATACAAGATTTCAGGTACGTCTTGCTACTTCTACTTACACTTGGGTCATACTACACATACAAGCATATATATACACACCCCTCTGGGTTTTCTTCTATTTTCTTTCTAGTTCTTGTTCTTGTTTATTTCCTCTCATCTCCATGGGGAAGTGGAACAGAATTCTTCCTCTCTAAGCCATGTGTATTGTAAGAGGCGACTAAAATGCCGGGAGAAAGGGGCTAGTAACCCGTTGTCCTGTATAAATTACTTAATTTAAAAAGAGAAACTTTTGTTTTTCTTTTTGGGCCACCCTGCCTCGGTGGGATACGGCCGGTTTGTTGAAAAAAAAAATAGTAATAATAATAATAATAATAATAATAATAATAATAATAATAATAATAATAATAATAATAATAATAAATAATAATGAGCAAGCTTCAGTTCCCTAATAATAATAATAATAATAATGATAATAATAATAATAATAATAATAATAATAATGAGCTTCAAAACGCCGCCACTAGTTGGCGCAGGAAATGCCACAACATCCACTGAGCACTGCACTGTTTTCCTCACTGTGGAAGCATTTCTCTCATGCTTTGCTTGCATTTTGTACAGTTATTTGTCAAATTTCTTTTTTTGAACCATGGGTCCAAAGAAAGTAAGTGCAAAGGACAGTGCTGAGAAGAAAAAGAGGATGATGTCCACAGAATTAAAGCAGGAAATCATAGATAAACACAAGCAAAATGTGCGGGTTGTGGACTTGGCTGTGGACTTCTTAATTGTAGCAATTAAGTTCAGCGATAAAGTGTAGCATTAAGAGTGGAGCAAGTAAGTTAAGCGATTAAATGACAGAAAAAGGACGAAATGAAACAAACTCCTCCAATGTTGTTGTTGGGGTTTATAGGGCCACTGACAGCATATGCTGCACTGCCTATTTTCCACCCTTAACCTCCACCAGCATCTCTTCTCCAAGGTAAATATGTACGTACACTTTATAAAACCAGTTTATTTCTTTACATACTCTATTATGCTTTATGTTTTATATAATATTTCTAATTTATAAATACATACATTGTTTCAGTGTTTTCCTTATGAAACTAGTGATCTAGTGGAGTTAGCCAGTGCAGGAGCAGGAGTGGTAGGCCACCACCACTCTCCATATTATGGCCTATTTTATTTATTCTAGAGTATATATCATGTTTCTATGTTATTTATATTATTGATTATGTCATATTAGATCAATTGTGATAGATAAATAAGCCATAGAGTTGATATTAGCGTTACATTGAAGTATTTTGTCCTGCCTCCTGAGAGCAGGAATTCCGCTGGAACAGATTAATGGCATTTCAATTAATCTAAATGAGGAAAATTGATTTGACGTATGAGCAAATTGAGCTACAAGCTAGGTCACGGAACGCATTAAACTCGTAAGTCAAGGTTCCACTGTATCCCCTTTGCCTTTATACAAAAGAACTATACATGCTCTCTGCTAATCCTTAGGTACCTTTCCCACTTTCATACATTAAATAAAAGCACCAACCACTCAAATACTATATCACTGCCCACTTTTAACATTTCTGTCACGATCCCATCAATCCCAACTGCTTACCCCCTTTCATTTTACCAACAGGCTCACACATCTCCCCCACACTCACATCTGGCTCTTCCTCACTCCTGAAAGATGCTATACCTCCCTGGCCAATACTATGATATCACAGCTTCCTTCAACATTTAACAATTCCTCAAAGCATTCCCTCCATCTTCCGAAATCTTACAACTCCCCATCTAATTAATACGTAACTCTCTTCTGTTTTTGAAAAATGTAAACAATTCAATGTAGTGAATAAAGTTCAAACCTGTGTTGTGGTGGTTCTTGTACGACTGTAGGACAGTGGCTAAGCTGTGTTGTGGTGGTTCTTATATGACTGTAGCTCAGTAGCTAAGCTGTGTTGTGATGGTTCTTGTACGACTGTAGGACAGTGGCTAAGCTGTGTTGTGGTGGTTCTTATATGACTGTAGCTCAGTAGCTAAGCTGTGTTGTGGTGGTTCTTATATGACTGTAGCTCAGTAGCTAAGCTGTGTTGTGGTGGTTCTTGTACGAATGTAGGACAGTGGCTAAGCTGTGTTGTGGTGGTTCTTATATGACTGCAGGACAGTGGCTAAGCTGTGTTGTGGTGGTTCTTATATGACTGTAGCTCAGTGGCTAAGCTGTGTTGTGGTGGTTCTTGTATGACTGGGGGACAGGGGCCCCTAAGCTGTGTTGTGGGGTTCTTATATGACTGTATCCATAGCTAAGCGGGTTTTGGGGGTGGTTTTTGTACGACTGTGGACAGGGCAAGTTTGTTGTGGTGGTTCTTAAGACGAGCTCAGTAGCTAAGCTGTTGTGGGGGTTCTTATTGACTTTTGCCAGTAGCAAAGTGTGTTGTGGTGGTTCTTATATGACTGAGCTCAACTAACTGTGTTTGGTGGTTTCTTATATGACTGTAGCTCATCGCTAAGCTGTTTTGTGGGGGTTTTCTTGTACACTTAGGACATGGTAAGCTTGTTGTGGTGGTTTTTATATGACAGCCTACTAAGCGTGTTTGGGGTTTCTTGTACGAGGGAAACAGTGGTAAGCTGGTTGGGTGGTTCTTATATGACTGTAGCTCGTAGCTAAGCTGTTTTGTGGGGGGTTTTTATTGACTTACTCTAGCTAAGCTGTGTTGTGGTGGTTCTTGTACGACTTAAAACAGTGGCTAAGCTGTGTTGGGGTGGTTCTTATATGCTGTGCCAGAAACAACTGTTTTTGTGGGGGTTCTTATATGACTGTACTCAGTAGCTAAGCTGTGTTTGGTTTTTCTTGTAGACTGTAGGACAGGGCTAAGCTTGTTTGTTGGTTCTTAATGACGTAGCTCAGTACTAAGCTGGTTGTGGTGGTTTTTATAGACTGTAGCTCAGAGCTAAGCTGTGTTGGGGTGGTCTTGTACAAGTAGGACATGGCTAAGCTGTGTTGTGGGGTTCTTATATACGCAGGAATGGCTAAGCTTGTTGGGGGGTTTCTTATATACTGTGCTCAATGGTAAGCTGTGTTGTGGGGGTTCTTGTATGACTGTGGGACAGTGGCAAGCTGTGTTGTGTGGTTTTTATGACTGTAGCTCAGTGCAAAGCTGTGTTGTGGGGGTTCTTTATGACTGTAGCCGAGCAAGCGGTTGGGGTGGTTCGGACGCTTAGGACAGTGGAAGCTTTTTGTGGTGGTTCTTAAGACTGTAGCTCAGTAGCAAACTGTGTGGGGGTTCTTGTACGACTGTCTGGGTGGCTAATCGTTTGTGGGGTACTTATATCTGTAGCTCAGTGGCTAACTGTTTTGTGGGGTTCTTAATGCTGTAGCTCTAGCAAAGCGGTTGGGGTGTTCTTGACGCTGTCCCCATGGCAAAGCGTGTTGTGGGGTACTTATTGACGTAGCCAGGGGAAAGCTTGTTTGGGTGGTTCTTATAGACGAGCTCATAGTTTAAGCTGTGTTGTGGGGGTTCTGACGATGTACCGGTGGCTAAGCGGTTTGGTGGTACTTATATTCTGTAGCTCAGTAGCTAAGCTGTGTTGGGGTGGTTCTTATATGACTGTAGCTCAGTAGCTAAGCTGTGTTGTGGTGGTTCTTGTATGACTGTACGACAATGGATAAGCTGTGGTGTGGTGGTTCTTATATGACTGTAGCTCAGTGGCTAAGCTGTGTTGTGGTGGTTCTTATATGACTGTAGCTCGGTGGCTAAGCTGTGTTGTGGTGGTACTTATATGACTGTAGGACAGTGGCTAAAATGTATTGTGGTGGTTCTTATATGACTGTAGGAGAGTGGCTAAGCTGTGTTGTGGAACTTATATGGCTGCAGCTCAGTGTCTCAGCACATCTGACTGATAATTTTAAGACTTCCACACCACAGGTTTGAATCCCACTAACTAAAATGAACAACTATTTTTCTTCTTTGTTTTTTGTCAGTTTTCTTACCTGTATAGCAGTTGTCAACTGATTCATGATGTCCAGCTGCTTCAAGGCTAAGATACCCATACCCTTGACTAGTGAAGCCAAGCCATACGCTGCACCCTTGCGTTCGCCATAATTCTCAGACTCGAGCAACACAGTCATAAGCTTGGCGACCAGCTTGGGACAGTCGTCACGGATGGCTGGTACCAGAGGATGAAGACAGTTGGCCACTGCTTCTTGTACCTGAAAATGGTTATCATATAACTATACAAAGGAAAATTTTCTTCCTGTCATACATGCCAACTGTATTATTTTCAAAGATTCCTTATAATACAAGTTTTATTACTGAACTGTACTTTTATATAATAACTATAATTAACATTATTATGACTACAAAGTCACTCATACACTGAAATGCTTTGCACTGTCTGCTTTAAGAAAATATATACCAGTACTTAATTTTCACAACCTACATAAATTTCCAACCACTTATTTTCATCTAGAAACTGATGGAGAAAATGTAAAATACAAAACAGTATGCTGTCGATTAAAAAGGTTTCCTTTAAAACATCTTCTGCATTAAACTGTTGTCAAATTGTGGCATATTTTCGTTTTACACCTCGTAAAATTTAATTTAAACGGATCTCCTCCTCAGTAGGGAAAAAATTTCAGTGCTGCAAACTGGATGAATGACTTACTGACTGACCTGATTTACTGACTGATTTACTGAATGACTTTTACTGACTGACTTACTGATTTACTGAATGACTTGACTGGATATACTGACTGCTTACTACTTGACTGACTGACTGACTTGACTAATTTACTGACTGATGGCTTACTGACTTGACTGACCGACTTCACTGATTTACTGAATGACTTGACTAAGTTGACTGAGTGACCTACTGAACTGAATGACTGTACTGACTTGACTGACTGATCTACTGACTCACTTGGCTGGACTAACTTACTGACTGGACATACATTGTAACAATAATGAACAACATTTGCATTATTTTTTTTATAAGATTTGGAGACCGAAAAAAAATGTTCTTTGGCTTTTTTGAGGGGATACCAGGAATATATCCCTATTTGTCCTATAAGCCCTTCAATTCCCTTAACATGCATTCGTCTAACACTGCATTTTCAGGAACCTACCATTTTAATCAACGGTCTACTATAATTATTTTAAAGTTTTCCTAAACACAATATTATGTCAATGTTACATAAATTTTATCATTAATATTAATGATTTGTTTCAGGTATGCTATATACAAGGAGTATAAATTCAGCACCCCATCCTTCATAATGCAGGCATAGTACTCCCCACCTCCCATACTATGCCTACACTCTGACTGCATGTCAAAACTACAAAATCACTTGCCTCCACTTACTCCACTCGAACCCATTCATGCATGCCTGCTGGATATTCAAGCTCAAACCCTTCCTCCCTTCTTGACAATACTTCCTGTAATGTCTCTTACACATCCTTCTAACCACCTCCAATTTTTATAACCATTCATTCTACCTATCTTGTTCCAGCCTTCCTACATGATCAATCACACATCAAAAAAGACACATGTGCAATATCTGGTTATCTTTATTGTAGACATTTTGCCATCCAGTGGCTTTATCAATACAGATTCTAGGACATAACTAGAAGACAGTAGAACTATATAGTTCTACACATGTTGCACATGTGTCTTAACTTTCATCTTGTCAGTATTGTGTACCTTTCTTGCACAATCACACATCAACCAACTGTATGCGATTACTTCAGGTCAAACACAAATACTTAAAAAATAACACTATAATCTTCAATCACATAAACAGAGACGATCCACTCACTAATCATACAAATACTTAACTCTTGCAGGAAGAGAGATTTAAGAAACACAAAAGAAAAATAGTTGTTGTGATGGAGTATGGTTAACATCAAACAGCTGTTGTGATGGAGTATGGTTAACAGCAAACAGTTGTTGTGATGGAGTATGGTTAACAGCAAACAGCTGTTGTGATGGAGTATGGTTAACAGCAAACAGCTGTTGTGATGGAGTATGGTTAACAGCAAACAGCTGTTGTGATGGAGTATGGTTAACAGCAAACAGCTGTTGTGATGGAGTATGGTTAACAGCAAACAGTTGTTGTGATGAAGTATGGTTAACAGCAAACAGCTGTTGTGATGGAGCATGGTTAACAGCAAACAGCTGTTGTGATGGAGTATGGTTAACAGCAAACAGCTGTTGTGATGGAGTATGGTTAACAGCAAACAGCTGTTGTGATGGAGTATGGTTAACAGCAAACAGCTGTTGTGATGGAGTATGGTTAAGAGTAGATACCTGTTGTGATGGAGTATGCAGGGCTTCAACCAGTTTAGCAACAATGGGTTTAATTTTGGGGTCACTGTGCTCCAGATGTTTGGCCAGAGAACCCATCAGTATGATCACACTCTGTCTGACAGCATCATAGCTGGCGTGGTTTGGTGCAGTGTTCAGAAACTTCTCAAACACCGGCAGAAGACTGTTCACTGTTTCCTAAATGAAAACTACTTTTATTAATACACATTTGGACTACATTTGACTACACAGTATAAATATTACTATAAAACTATATTCACTTTACTATACAATATACATTTCACTATCTAAAATAAATATTACTATACGATATACATTTTACTATGCAGATACAGTAGGGCCCCACTTATATGGCAGGTTAGGTTCCAGGCTACTGCCGGAAAGCGGACATCACCAGAAAGTAGAACGCCATTTTTGTCCACTTATAAATGCATATAAATGCCAGAAAACAAGTTCACACTAACTTACATTTAGTTAGTAATAGAAACAGGTATTAACAACCACAATAGAAAGTAAAACACATACAAAGAACATTCATTACTTTTCTTAAAATATTTGTAGTCTTAATGTAGCCTGAGAGGTGAGTAGTATGTACTTATTTGTAGGAAGTCAGGTGTAAGTAGCTGGTACATGTAGCCCACCTGGGCTACACCTACTTACATAGAAATATACGATATTTAACGCAGCCCAGAGCCATATTATTACCATCGACATACCTTGTTCACTGAGTTTAACCATTTCTAGCACCTATCTTTAGATGCAATCATAAATGAAGGGAAAAGTAATAATAATAATTCATGCCGAGAATTGTAAACAAAAGCGAAATGTGAAGGGGAGTGACTGGGCCAAATGCAGACCCATACACATTTTCTCTAGTGCTGTACCAGAGAAAACGTAATGTTTTCCCTCAGCCTGGCTACCACACTTCTATAGCATATCAACATACCATGTTTATATGCTGTGTAATGTGCTTCTTATATAATTTTGAAGAAAATATCATAGATGAATTAATGAAATTATGTATATGCACATATAAAATATGCAATAACTTTAACCCATTCAGGGTCCATCCCATAGATCTACAGCTTTACGTTCAGGGTCCAAACTGTAGATCTACGCCATGAGCTCAGCTCACTCTGATAAACTGTGAGTGGTAAATTTGGGCCTAGATATGAGAGAATACATCTATGTGGTATGTGTGCACCACATAAAACAAATCCTGCAGTACACTGTGTATAATGAGAGAAAAAAACTGAGACCATGATTTTCGATTAAAACAGCGACTTCGCAGTGTTTTTTCGTATGTTTTTTACAGTTGTATAGTAGACCCCCGGTTAACGATATTTTTTCATTCCAGAAGTATGTTCAGGTGCCAGTACTGACCGAATTTGTTCCCATAAGGAATATTGTGAAGTAGATTATTCCATTTCAGACCCCCAAACATACACGTACAAATGCACTTACATAAATACACTTACATAATTGGTCGCATTGGGAGGTGATCGTTAAGCGGGGGTCCACTATATTTGCAATTTCTTGGTATCATTTGGTAGAATGGAAGACATATTACAGAAATAGAGATGATTTTGATTGGTTTTAGCACTGGAAATGGCTTGAAACTGAGCTCAAAGTAGCAGAAATGTTAAATTTTTGTCGATGTTCAAGAGTAAACAAACAACCTCACACGTCTAATACACGCCAGCTGGTGGGTTTAATATACATTCACAAATGTGGTGATGATATTTATACAATTATTACATTATTGCATAACAGTAAATCTTCTATTTTTTGGTGTGAATAAAAATTCATTATGTGAATAAAAAATCAAAAGGAATTTATTTGTAAAGCCTCAAAATGTAACTAATGAATAGAGGAAATGTTAGTTTAGTGCCAGGAATACCTACATTGTTTATTCTGGACCCTATTTTGATATTGGAATATTTTGAACTTTGTGTTAAATTGGCCAAATTACCAATTTCCGATCACTTTATTTTTTAATTGAAACAGTTGACTTGGCGATTTCTTGTGCTCAATCGATAGAATAGAAGTAATACTAGTGAAATAGCTAAGAATTTGGTCGACTGGAATAATGTAATTGGCCTAAAATGGGAGTCAAAGTTGGCAAAATCACCGATTCGTAAATATCGATGACACATCAAAATTCACGAGAGCATAATTTCGTCAATTTTCCATCAAATTTCGTAGTTTTTGTTTTATTACCTTCACAAAAAGATTCTCTACCATTTCATAAGAAAAATAATTTTTTTTTTTTTTTTGAAAATTCTTGGACACTGGGACACCACTTCAGATTTTGGCCTTGGACCCTGAAAAGGCTAAAACACTTGAAATTTTGGAAAGTTTCCAGATATAACAGAGAGATGCTCACAGAGAATGAAAACAAACCAGGTGGGGTGTGCCGTATTAGAAAGACAAGGAGCCATATCGTGAGTTTTGGTCATAATTTGAAATCACTGTATCAGCAGAACGCCGTAAGGTGAATTGCCATAAAGAAGGGCCCTACTGCAAATATGAAGTACTGCAAACTTTCAAAAATCTTATCAGTGTCCAATATACATAACAATAATATACGTAGTAGTGCATGAAAAAATGTTCTTTCATTTAACCCTTTCAGGGTCCAAGGCCAAAATCTGAAATGGTGCCCCAGTGTCCAAGAATTTAAAAAAAAAAAATTGTTATTTTTTTCTTATGAAATGGTAGTGAATCTTTTTGTGAATGTAATAAAACAAAAAGTACGAAATTTGATGGGAAATTGATGAAATTATGCTCTCGTGAATTTTGATGTGTCAGCGATATTTACGAATCGGCGATTTTGCCGACTTTGACTCCCATTTTAGGCCAATTACATTATTCCAGTCGACCAAATTCTTAGCTATTTCACTAGGATTACTTCTATTCTATCAATTGAGCACAAGAAATCGCCAAGTCAACTGTTTCAACTACAAAATAAAGTGACCGGAAATTGGTAATTTGGCCAATTTAACACAAAGTTCAAAATATTCCAATTTCAAAATAGGATCCAGAATAAACAATGTAGGTATTCCTGGCACTAAACTAACATTTCCTCTGTTCATTAGTTACGTTTTGAGGCTTTACAAATAAATTCCATTTTGATTTTTTATTCACAAAATGAATTTTTATTCACACCAAAAAATAGAAGATTTACTGTTATGCAATATTGTAATAATTGTATAAATATCATCACCACATTTATGAATGTATATTAGACCCACCAGCTGGCGTGTATTAGATGTGTGAGGTCGTTTGTTTACTCTTGAACATCGGGAAAAATTTAACATTTCCGCCACTTTGATCTCAGTTTCAAGCCATTTCCAGTGCTAAAACCAATCAAAATTATCTCTATTTCTGTAATATGTCTTCCATTCTATCAAATGAGACCAAGAAATCACAAATACACCTATAAAAAACATACGAAAAAACACTGCAAAGTCGCTGTTTTAATCGAAAATCACGGTCTCAGTTTTTTTCCTCTCATTATACACAGTGTGCTGCAGGATTTGTTTTATGTGGTGCATACATACCACATAGATGTATTCTCTCATATCTAGGCCCAAATTTACCACTCACAGTTTATCAGAGTGAGCTGAGCTCATGACGTAGATCTACGGTTTGGACACTGAAAGGGTTAAATACTTCAGCCTTTCTGTCCACAAAAACTTTACAATGCCTACAAGACTATTTTGAATAATTAAAAAATATAAATACAAAATATAGGTAGTAGGTTGGTAGACAGCAACCGCCCAGGGAGGTACTACCGTCCTGCCAAGTGAGTGTAAAACGAAAGCCTGTAATTGTTTTACATGATGGTAGGATTGCGGTGTCTTTTTTCTGTCTCATAAATATGCAAGATTTCAGGAACATCTTGCTACTTCTACTTACACTTAGGTCATACTACACATACATGTACAACCATGCAAAACAACCACTCTGAAAGAATAGAGAAATTCCAAGCGCTTTCGTGACTACTCACATTATCAAGGATAGTTCCTTGATAATGTGAGTAGTCACAAAAGCGCTTGGAATTTCTCTATTCTTTCAGAGTGGTTGTTTTGCATATTTTGAAATCACCTGTTCACTGTGATCTTATTGCATGTACAACCATATATATACACACACCCCTCTGGGTTTTCTGCTATTTTCTTTCTAGTTCTTGTTCTTGTTTCCTCTTACCTCCATGGGGAAGTGGAACAGAATTCTTCCTCCGTAGGCAATGCATGTTGTAAGAGGCGACTAAAATGCCGGGAGCAAGGGGCTAGTAACCCCTTCTCATGTATAAATTACTAAATTTAAAAAGAGAAACTTTTGTTTTTCTTTTTGGACCACCCCGCCTCGGTGGGATACGGCCGGTTTGTTGAAAGAAGAAAGAAAATACGAAATTACATATAACCCACAATTTGAGGAAGATTATTCAAACAATTTTAGGCACTACTACTAAAAATTCTCCCATTACAGTGGAACCCCAGATTTCATACTTAATCCATTCCAGGTCAATCTAAATCTGAAACGTATAGAACCGAAGTAATATTCCCATAAGAAATAATGTAAATCCAATTAATCTGATCCAAACACTCAAAAATATTCACAAAAAAAAAAAAAAATTTTTAACCCTTAAATTGTCCAAACGTAGATCTAAGTTTGCAAGCATAGTGCTCCGGATGTAGATCTATGTTTTATTTTTCATTCCTTCAAATTTGGCCCAACAGGCTTGAGTCGTCTCGACATGAAAGAATGGATCTGCGCCCTCAGTGTGCGCAGTATTAAAAAAATATGGAACCACTTAGTACCCTGTAGGAGCACCAGTTCAAGCGAGTGCCAGCTACAGAAAATAGCTTAGAAAACACCAGGGATTCACTGATGCCATGTCGCATTAACACTCCCCTTTTAAGAGGAAAGTAAAAATAGGTTAGATAAATACATGAGTGAGTGTAGGTGGGTGTGAGTTGGACCTGAGTAACTTGTGCTACTAGGTCTGATGTAGTGCTCCTTCCTTCAGTGAATGTGACCTGACTAGGTGGGTCATTGGTCTAAGCAGCAGATGTAGGTGGTGTCACATTTGTTCAATGTGGAAGTAGGTCATGCCCATGGGATAGGCAAGCAAAGAATTCCCAAGTATTAAGATCCCAAGAAGTTGTAGTGTC